AAGCTGATAATGTAGACCTTATGACGTTATTAGTAGATAAAGGAATGTCTGTCAACGAAATGAGTACACGCGGAACTCCGCTACACTACACAGCTTGCTTTGATAATATGAGAGCAACAGAATTTCTAGTCGAAAGAGGCGCTGATTTACAGATAGCCGACGCAATTGGCCGGACTCCGCTGATTTAGGCTGCATATGGTGGCCATCCAGAAATAATTCGTTATCTTGCAATGAATGGAGCAGATGTAAATGCTTGCATCGATGATGTAACTGTTTTGCTCTTGGCAACTGAAAGGGCACATTGGGACGTGATGATTTCTTACTGGAACAGGGCGCGGATATTAATGACAGCAATGTTGAACGAGGCGCGAGTCCGATACAAGTTGCAATTGAGAATTACGACTTACAGACAGTGAAGTACTTAATTGAAAAAGGCGCTGATATTAATTTTCGCAGCTTCAAAAATGAAACTGCTCTTCACTTCGCTGCTGAATATTATAATGTAGACATTATGGCGTTACTAGTAGATAAAGAAATGTCTGTCAACGAAACGAGTACACGCGGCGAAACTCCGCTACACGTCACAGCTCGTGGTGGTAATCTGAGAGCAACAGAATTTCTAGTCGAAAGAAGCGCTGATTTAGAGGTAGCTAACGCAAATGGCCACACTCCGCTGATGGTAGCTGCATCCGAAGGCAATCTTGAAGTAGTTCATTATCTTATAATGAAAGGAGCAGACATAAATGCTTGCACCAATGATGAATCTGCATTGTTCTTGGCAACTGAAGGGGCACATTGGGACGTGATGGATTTCTTACTGAAACAGGGCGCGGATATTAATGACAGCAATGTTGAACGAGGCATAACTCCGTTATGACTTGCATTTGAGAAAAACAACTTACAGAGAGTGAAGTTCTTAATTGAAAGAGGCGCTGATGTCAATTTCCATAGCCGTGATGGCAGCAAATTGTCAGCTTTACATCTCGTATTGCATTGTTGTAACCC